AACTAAATAATCATATATTTGCTGGGTTCTATGATATACAAGGGAGAGTTATACTTTTTCGTAAACAGTTTGTGTATAGCTTAGCCCATACACTATATTTATTTGCATCCCAATCTGTTCAGTCGATTCACCTATAGAAAATTATAATGGACACAAAATAATCGATTAATTTGTCTGCGTCTCATTCCACTTAGTGAATTCGGTTGATGATCTACAATACAATAACGAAATGCCTATTGACTTGAATATATGAAACTGAATCCACCTAGAATCAAGCTGTTACTGATCACTGTTGTATGAATCATGCGCTTACGGCTTATAAAGATTATATAAAAGCCTAACTGATGAAATACTGAACCGATACAGAAGAGAATTAAAACGATAGTACGTTCTATAAATGTATGATAATAAATCCGCGTACATTGTCTTCATATGCCTCCCATTTTTCTATGTATTCATCCCAGGATTGTTAACTTTCTGCACCAGTATTACCCAAATCCCATTTTTTGGTCCTTCAAATATGAAGGTTTTACTGTCAACTTCAGCCCAGAAACCAGGTGTTGCAATTAGTTAAAATAATAAAAGTAAAAGTGAGATTACACAATTAGCAAATTAATTACTATAACAAGATATACTACTAGTAAAAAATATGAGTAGTTATAAGGGATAAACAAAACGTAATGGATCGTTTCATTCACTGGAATCGAAAAATTGTGTTTTGTCGGGATAGAAAGCTTCTACTATCCTTGAAATGATCAATCAGAAATGAGTGGTTTATTTGATGACCTCTGGCAAGTTGAATAAGCAATTTTAAATTTTTGTTTTCCTTGTCATACTCTATGTATAATGCGGTTTTTGCTAAAACTTACCGTAGTATGTTTTAAAAGGTACTCCTAATCTGCTTAAAATAAAATGTTAGGAAATAGGGAAGTGTAGAGTAATGGTTCGGTATTAGAGTGGGAACCTTATTGATAAAACACAGTTCTCGATTCCTTAGACTTTAGAAAATAAAGTGTCTAGAAAATCTTGCAGAGGGGATAATTAGCACAAGACTATTATGCAAAGCTTGGATTCCGCTCATCTCGGCAAACATGTATTTAAGTACTATAAGCTAGATAGTTATTGGTTTGATAGTTCAAGGTCACCCCGCAAATCGCTCAAGCGCGACACGATTTTTTCATCCTACCGTTTCATTCACCAAATCATGGAATTCACCGTGGATTAATATCAGTTGGAGGAACATCGTTAACCTAGGAGCACTGGACAACTGTTTCGTTATAATATGGGACTCATGTGCGCACCCATGATCCTGCCCCCCAGAGATAGAATCCAGGACCTTCAGGTTTCGTGGCCAGCAGGCTGTTCGTTTATATGTCCTCTTCTAATTTTAACAATAAGAATTTTCGACACTCTTAAATATCTTTTATTGTTGAAGTGGTATGACCAAACTTCACAAATGAATCTTTTGAGCATTAGCTTTTACCTCACATATTACGTAAAGCACGAACATAAATTATTAGTGCGGCAAGATAATACTCTTATTTAGTTATCATTGAATGGATTACATTATTGTCTACAAGCTCCATTGAAATTTTGTTACGATGGAGGGAAAGTGGAATTTTTTGAAAGTCTCATTGAACCAAATTAACCTAAAGAAAAATTGAGTAATTTTGAAAACTAGCATACAGCTATTCTTGACTTGCAATCAATTTTTGTTTAGAGCGAGCCGATAACAACACGGGTCATTATAAACTGTTTGCAAAACATTACCGCTGAAACTTACACCTGATATCTTAGAAGTTTCGTTTTGAGATCTTTGCTACTAACTGCTGTTATAAGTAGCTTAATCCATTATTTGGATATTAGTCTCACTTCATTGTCGAAAGAGAAATTTTATCAGCCTGAAAGACTCATCATAACGTTTTCAAGAAATCGGAAGGTTTCTTGAAATACTCAGTTCAAGTTTCCACTTTACATACAATGAGTATATGCCCATAGGTTGCATATCTTTAAGAATGTCCCCATTAAGAATCCATACCAACTGGGAAAAAATATCAGTTTACCCTTGAGTATAAGCTTTAAATCCAGTTTAAAAGCAATCAAAATTTCAAACTTTAACTATGCAACCAGATTAAATGTAAAAATTTTCAGATCTTTCCATGGGAAGACTAATGCTGAATTAGTGATTAAAAGTTGCAACAGTGGATAAAAAATATTTTCAGTCAATCAGTTTTGCAAGATTTGGTCAGCGACTAGCTCTTGTAGCCCAGCTGACAGAGCACCAGCTAGCTAAGGTGAAAGTCACCGGTTCGACTGCTGACATGGCCTAGATTTTCATTTCATTTTTAATCATCATCATCTAATGTCAATAATACCAGTCTGTCAACCATGACTATCTCAGAAAAGTTTAAATTAACATTTTAAAAACTATTCCACAGGGTAGCATGAAAAATCGAACCAATGAACAAGCATATATCATTGAACCTAAGTCCAATAACCGTAAGTCAGTCTCAAGCTAATTCACGTGACATTCATGTTCCTGGAAATTCAAAAAAAGAATAAAGCATTTCACTAGCTCCTTCTGATCACAAAGTTTTGGCTTCAGGATATTGATAGCAAAAGACTGAACAGTCTACAGAAGACCATTTCTCACAGCTTATTTTTAATGATCAGCTATATTTCTAATCCCATGAAAAGGTGAACTTTCTATCCACTTTAAAAGCAGTGTGCATATATGAAGCTAACAACAGTTGCATTTGCTCCAAAAAGGTAACCAATTCCTAGCAGCACATTAACATATATACCTCGATATCATTAATCAAATCATTAAAATTATTATTGTAATTATCAATATTATCATAATTAGTAGTAGTAGTAGTAGTAGTAAGAATAGTAGTATTGTTATCTGTCTTTTTGGTTCCTAGTTGAATGTAGAGCTTCAGTAGCTCGTCGAATTTTAACCCTCCTCTTTACAGTCGTTTAAACCTGTCGCCACCACTGCCCACAACCTCTCATTTCTTCCTCACATCATCTCCTCCATGTCACCCTCACCTCACACACCCAACTCACCGTTTCCCATCTGCGTTCCACTCGAGAACCTCACTTGAAGTGAAGCATGATGTCCCCAAACCATCTTCTCACTGTACATCCACCCAATCCATCTCCACTTTCTTCCAGTGCATATTTGTTGAGTGATAGCTTCTTGGTTGGTTCGTTGCAGCCAGCCAGTCAGCCAGAGTTCCTTGTTGCTTATTCTTATTATTCTGGCCATCTGATCCTCAGTATGGAGTGAGCGTAGGCATCAGGTGTTGATGAATGTCTGTAGTTTGTTTGAAATGCCTTTCGTGACGCGCCAAGTCTCTTAACCATCACATAGAAGCACTGACTTGACTCGATTGGTGTTGAAAATCCGGATCTTGTCCTTTGTGCTGAGTGCAGTGCAGAAGATCTCTACACTGCTTTCAGGTTGATGAACGCCTGTCTTGCTATCTTTCCGATCTTGGTTTTGACGTCTTCATCTGTGCCGCCTGTAGTTGAAACAGTGCTGCCTATGTAGGTGAAAGAGGCTACTTCCTTTAGGTTTCTCCCATTCATGGTGATCGGAGCTTGTTGTTGTTGTTAGTGGTGGTGATGTTGTTAGTTGGGTATCTTCATCACCTCTACCTCTGTCTTCTCTGCGTTCACTTGAAGTCCCATCTTCGCTGCTCTGCTCTGCCCAGCCCTGCCACTTCTGTCAACTTGTTAGTTTTCGCCTGTAGATCTTCAAGTTTGTATGACATTAAACATAAATCATCATCGGCGAAATCCAAATCTTCTCCTGGAGTCTTCTCATCGGTCCAGCCGGCATATCCCCCTCTTCTCGCTCCTCACTGTTTGTTGCATGATCCAGTCGACTACAATCAGGAATATCATGGGTGATAGTGGACAGCCTTGTTCCACTCCTATCTTCCTTTCAAAGGCATCACTGAGCTCAGCTTTCCATTGTGAATTACTTGGCATGTGGTGTCTTCATGTAGTTGTTCAATGAGGTTGATAAAGGTTTGTGCCACTAAAACCGTAGTGTTGAAGCAGAAGTTGACAAAATTACTTCTCGGTCGACGCTGTCAAAGGCCTTCTCAAAGTCGATGAAGTTGAGGTAGAGGGTTGACTGCCATTCTATACTCTGTTCTATGATGATGCGTAGTGTAGCGTTGCAATTTGATCCGCACATGATTTGTACTTCTTGAAGCCAGCCAGCCTGTTCCGGTCGCCCCCAGTCAAAAGTGCATAAATACTCTACTGAAGTCATGTACAAATTCAAATATACTTGCTGAAACAAGCATACTATAAGAATTAGATGAGTTTCTATCTGTTTTCCAAAACTAATAATCTTTTAGAAAGACACCAAGTACATTTATAACTATCAATCAATGGAGAAATTTAGTCTTGTTTAGCTTCTCAGTACAGCTTATAACGAAGTGATTTTAAGCTAACCTTTGTATAGGAAATAATAGTAATTGTTAATCTGAATTTTTCAAAGTGACGACATTCTGACTGGGTAACACTCGACGTAGTAGTGATGGATGGTGGATAGAAGTGGACTTCACGACGTGTGTTCCACTCTAGTTGGGGCTCGTCAGCTGGATGCACCTGCCTCTCAGTGAGTGGTGTTGTTCCCGCTAGGACTCGGATCCAGGGCCAATAGCTTCAAACTCCAGAGCATTACTTACTAGGCCACTGAGTCAGGACAGACATTCCAGATATTCGTTCCAGTATGAGACTCCTCAGAAGTGGGCACTCTTGACTCCACCGGGTCCTTCAGGTCTCCTGGTGAGCACGTTACCACTGGGTTGAGCTTCATACTAAGACGAAACAGCTGTCCAGTGCTCTCAGGTCTCCAAGGGTTCACCAATTGATGTCACTCTGTGAATACCAACATGATTTGACTGGTTGTATGCATGATTTTAGGCTATTGCTAGCTGAAGAGAAGCCTCAAAACATGAAGCAAGAAATAAAGTAAATATCATTCAAACTGTTAACTATTTATTATTTGCATTTTGTACAACATTTGGTATACTACAAGATAACTGTAAATCAGAAGGAAGTATAGACGGTGTTAATTCTGTCCAAGGCTTTATGAAAACACTACTACTCCTACTACCGCCACTCAGAGATGATGGTGGTGGTGAGGAGGAGGATACACACTGAAACTGTCCAAAATAGCGTACGCCTAACTGACGAGTAATTTGTTCCCTCTTTACCGATGGCAATTTGAATAATCCGGCTTGATTAACAAAATACCCATTATACAGGTCAGTAGCTGTTAAATGTCGGCTAGTTGGAGAATTTGGCCAATTGACTAAGAAACTAGCAACAGCTATCCATGATACCCGCGGATGATGGTGACGATGATTTTGGTCTACACCGGGATTGGAATTACTCGGTTTACAGGCTATAAAAGTGAACGGCATAGGATGATGCTTTGCATCGATTTGTGAGCGTAAATATACAAAACTTCCAGGTGGTAATGAAGATGAATAGGGTTGATTGAGAAGAGTTGCCGCCTCATTGAGATAATTCATTACCTGCAAAGTTTAAAACAAAAAACAACGATAACAACAACAATAGGTGATTGTTTAAACGTTTAAGAAGGGATTTTTATATAGGTTTCTCTCAAACGCAAAAAAACACACAACTACTTATTAATAAGGACTCGAAGTTACTTTTTTTTATGCACTCAGCAACCACATGCATACTTGTGCAGTAGGCAATGAGAAACACCTATTGGGTGAGGGTTAATAAAACTGTAAGAAACGACACAAACTGAGACACAGGGAAGAATGTTTATTGTGACATTTTGTACAGTACTGATGAAACATTGAACACTTTCCATTAAAATAGTCATTTGCACAATATACTTCATCTCCTCTTCTTCTTCTATCTCGATTTGCTCTTAATACGCCCACATTGTCTCTTGCGTTTCTCTGGGCAGAATATTTATCCATTGCTGGTGGTTGCTTATGATTTCTGCCGACCTTTCAACATACACTACTTATATCCATTCTTATCAGTAGCACCCGTTACAATACCACCTTGTTGCCCAAACCTCGGTAGGTGAAGCGGAGCTGAAACCTGTGATCCGCTAGAGTTGACAGTTATCTTCTTAAACCAATGGGTTACAGCTCCACTCGGCGTTACACATGTGCCAATTTCTTTTATTCGTTGGAAGTATTCGTTTGTGACATTTATCAGAGATGTTTTAATCCACATTACCAGGTACCTCGAATATCATAACCAGTCCACTATGATGCCGTTAGGAGGCTCAGTCACAGGCATTAGCCATTCTAACAGTAAAATATACAGGACATATTATTATTTAGATGCACAAATAAACCGAAGGGTTAGATGAAAAATGCATTAAAATAACTTGGTACTGTTTTCATCCCATCAAATAGGTTGCGGTGAATACAGTATCACTAAGTTTCCAGTGGTTGTAGACAACCAGCTGATTTTCATCTCAAATTTACATCACTTAGAGAATTCTTGGAAGTCGAGGAGTATTGAAAAGAAATTTCGTCTTAATTGACGACTATACAACAGCAGGTTGCGTTCATGACTTTCCAGTCGCATAGCAAACATATTATCATTTGGTACCAGAAACAAACAGCTGCCTAGTGCTACCTGCTTGGTCTTCAAAAGTACTCTCAAGGTGGCTTTACTCTATGTTTAGAACCACCTTGAAATAAATTACTAAATTGAAAATAAAAACTCAACACAACATGAAACAAAGGAAGAGAGAATGATGACGAATAATAGTAATACTGGAGGAGAGATAGACACAGAAGACATTCAAAGAACTACATAATCATTGCTACTTTTCATTCTGAAGTATACGTTACAACATTTCAAGATATCTAATCACTTAGTTCCTTCAACAAGATTCACGAAGTCATGATGCTCTGCTAGATGCAAATATCCCTTATCTTAAGATCCTACCTTCTAAGGTGACCAAATCTCCATTTCTTTCAACTAGTTCATTAACCAGGTAATAATGAACAGCATACGTTTGATGCATTGAAGTCACGAAAATTGATCTCCATTCAGTTAAAACACTTGCTGATGAACTTTGCAGTTACGTACATGATAAGGCAGACAAAATCAACGTAGAACCTAGTAAAAACACTACAACGCTTCAACTTGCGACACTTCACAATAGCATGCAAAGAACAAGAGTGATATCAAAGTAGACAGAAGTATCTGGGAGGGGATGGAATGTGAAAATGTTCAAGCCTTAGAATACGCCATTGTTATCAACTTTCAGTTGTGTAACCGAGGCTCTCCAACAATTGATTCCTACCGTCACAATGACGTTAATCAGGCAGTCTACTCCTCTGTCAACACGGCTCAGGCCAACATTCAGAGACTTCATGGATTGATACCAGATCTTGATCTATCCACTTTTACCGGTACTCCGGCTCAATTGTGCTTCGAGGTGGGGGGCTTTTGAGTATCCACAACACACGTCCGAGCCATCTCAGTCAGTAAACGTCCCACAACCTTATCGACCGTAGTGCTTTCCCTGTCAAATAACTTTTGCTTAACTTCGACATAGTTCACTCGGTAATTCCACTATACTTGAGCAATGCTGTGACGACACCTATAGTTAAAAACCTGTTGTCTTTTCACATCTACTTTCAACTGTCATGTCTCATAGCCATATATATTGTAGAACAGAGTGTACTGAAGCACAGTACACTCGTCCATGAATATGTAGTTGTAAATCTTGCCAGTGTCAGAGACGAGGCAAGTTAGCAAATGCCGAACGCGCCTTTTTATACGAGTCACAATTTCATCAACAACCAACCGGATCAGGGAAATACAATTAAACAAGGACAAAACATGTATCTTGTGCATTATTGCTAACTGTAATTAATGCCTATAATGCCTACAATTTAGCTGGATTGCTACTTAATACCGACATGGGATAACTGAATTGACTAAAATGGCTTTAGTTGAAGGTTTTAGCAGTTCACTTTATCTAGTTTTCTATCGACAGCTGGCAATACGGTATTCAGTAATGACTTTTTTGATTTATACGCCATAGTAATACCAAAACCAAAGCTCTGAGAACATTTAACACTAGACAGTTCTTATTTTTACTATCTGGTGATATGCTTGTATTTCTGCTTTTTTACTGGGTCGAATTGTTCTACTTCTATTAGTATATGAACTCCTATTTGGATGCCTGGATATCGCCTGAATATTTATGATTTACTTGATTGTGGCTAGCAGGGGAATCCATGATGCGCGTTTCGTCCTATTCTGGACTTGTTGGCTTGTATATGCCTACACCCCAGTTAGTGATGTTGTTCACACTGGGACTCGAACCTCGTAGCTATCGCTTCAAACACCAAAGCGTTGTCCACTAGGTCACCTCCTTTACAACGGGTACAGGTACCCCCAAATAGGACGAAACGGGAGTCAAGGATTTCTGTGCTAGCCACAACCAAATAAATCATCATAATTCCTACTTTCAGCTAGCAAATCTTCACTACATAGTAAACTAGGTTGATATTCGATCTAAGACGACGCATACTATCGTATTTACAGACTTATAATTTATAACCACCGGAAACAAAAGTATTACGCATACATCGATGTTCATACACAAGTTGAACTTAGTGTAGAATTCATTTTCAGTTTACCTTCATGACTAATTATTGTTGCTATGTTCCTTCCGACTGCTTATAAAGAGACAGAATGATATCGACAACATAGGAGTTAGCATAACTACGTATCGGCTGATGTGTAGCATTTAGGATGAATGGGCTTATGATGGAGAGAGAGAGAGAAAGGGAGGGAGAGCGAGAGGGAAAGAAAGAGATGATTCAAGTCCCGACCTAGTGACCAAATGGCAACGTGTTGGCGACGGAACTTGAATGTCTCGGGTTCAGTCCCTGGCAGAGAGGGGGGTTATGGGTGCACACTGCTGAGGAGTCCCATACTAGGAAGAAATAGCAGTTCAGTGCTCCCAGGTTTCTAATTTTTCTCCAATTGATATCAGTCCATGATGAATACTAACCTAAAGTTAATAAATAAATCCCTATAAAACACTAAATTGGATCATATCACTAACCTTGGGGTCATAATTTGCATAATATATACCAATGTCTTCATCATCATTCTTGGAGGCATAATGAACTTCTGGGACTAAAAAAGGACATTCAACTAAACGGAAATTGGCTTTGAACAATGGATCTACTTCTTTTTCAGCCTGTGTGCTTAATAAACAAAGTTCTGTAGATAAGTCTACAGAACTCCCCTGGAATGCATACCAACATCGGATAATATCTTTGGCTGACAGTTTCTCCCAGTCAATTATACCAATATGATGCTGAGGTATACGAGCATATGACACAGGTATGTTGAACTTTTTTGAAATAACTGACTGATCAATACCAATCAAATGCGGTAAATTTGGATGTAGGATAACCTTTGAAAAAATCAACAAGGTGTACACATTCAAAGAAATGTTTAAAAGTATTGTATGGTAAAATGAATGATGACCACACGACAGATGGTAACCAGTCAAGCTGTCAATTTCTGTGTTCCAAGTATTGATCAAACATCAAACAAATGACTTTTGTGATGTGGTCACTAAACTAAGTGGTCTGGCACTGGATTTTGGTGTTAAATTTTATGCAGTAAGGCGTGAAATCGAATGCATAAAGTTAGTAGTAATACGTATACAATTACCGATGTCGCATAGAGTGATATTTAATAAGCGTAACAACTAGTTAACAAGCGATAAGTAGGTTCATTTAATTGGCTTCTCTCATACGGGTTAAGCAATTGCTTACGAATTTGTATAACACAGTAAGGTTGTAACTTACTTAGCTTAGACATTCGACTTTCAAGCAGTTTGTCACAAGTCCAAACTTCGTTACACCTGCTGAGGTTCGAGAAATCAAGCTGTAATCAGTTATTAGTTGATTGTAGACAGTCGGTAGGAAGCCTTGGATCAACGTTTCATGCTTATTGAGGCTTATAAGCTAGGCTTATCTTCCACTTCTAGGGGACTGATATCCCCTATGAGGTCCGAATCCGCGTCACCCTAACATCCATCAATGCTCAGCCTCTTAGTTTGGTTGCCACACTGTAAAATGACCGATAGAATTCGGTCAGCAATCAGGAATAGATAACATGAGATTGGTCGCTCCTCAGTGAATAGTTACTGTATGTAATCGGTTATACTTAAAATTTTTAGTGATATACTTAAAGTGCATTCAGTGTTCATTCAAACCTTTTAGAGGATCGACAGTTAGTCATGACCTTAACTGCGTTCAACTTTGGGTCATAGTGTGATTTATAACTGAATTACCTACGGTAAGCTGTCTACGAACATTGATTTTGTTGGCTGTCAAAAAGATTACCTTAGTATATACCCATAATCCCTGATATCCTACTGCAATACTATTTTATTTGAGACTGGAGGCTGACTTTCATTTCTATTGATTTATTAGATTTATCACACAGTGGAACAGTATTGTTTACTGGACTACGTTTCGGACGTAATTTATTCTCCATAGTTATATCAAGATAATACAACACACAACTTTGAAACATCCTTTACATAGTCCTAATTTCCTCGCCCCTTTGTGAGATGGTCAGCAAGATTTTCCACATATCCGGAACAGGTGCTCAGTTATTCGTGTCACATGTATTTGGTGTTGATTCGATAAACAAAGATTCAGTTATCAATATCTCCCTCCACTGTGTTAGATTAGTTTCAAGGATTTTCACCCTGTCTCATCCTGTTGTGTGGTTGTGTGTAATTGCATGTATAGTTCTATGGCTGAGCTGTTTTGTGCTCGGATAGCCTAATTGACTCTGTTAATGATGGATCGTGGCTAGCAGTGGAATCCAGAATGCGCATTTCGTCCTATTTGGGACTCGTCAGCTGGATGTACCTGCTTCCCAGTGAGTGATGTTGTTCCCACGGGGACTCGGGAGCGACCGCCAATAGAGACCAATCAATTCGGTCCAAGTAACGATATAAAAACCCTTATACTAGAAACTGTACTCGTAGCACAAGAAGTGGTTATCGTGGCTCGGTGGTGTAGTGGATAATGCCCTGGCGTTTGAAGCGATCGCTCCCAAGTCTGAATTCCGGTGGGAACAACATCACTCACTGGGAAGCAGGTACATCCAGCTGACGAGTCCCAAATAGGACGAAATGCACATCCTAGATTACACTGCTAGCCACTGTCCATCATTACTTTCGGGTTTATTCTGCATACTGAAGATAGAAGGTACATATCGAAATACTTGTGTTCCCACTGAACAAATTCTGAACCTTCAACAAAGATATGCTAGATTGTTTGTAGAATAGCAAATAAGTAACAGTTTTGATGATTAATTCATCTTATATCTACGGTTATTCGTTGCACAAACTCAAACATCACTTAATCTAGATACTGAAGCACATAGCCTGATTCAAAATTAGCTTCAATCATTCAGGTGTGTAGTTTATTAACATGAAACTAAGTAAGATAAAGCGAAAAATATTAGGATAAATAGTTGAAAATTATTTGAGCAGTCAGCAAAAATTTACCTCAAACATAGCTTTGATACTATAAGGAATTAAGTAGGTAGTCAATTGTTCAGGTGTTATCAACACATTCCCATTAGACGGTAAATGAATAGATTGTTGATATAAAACTGAACCCGAATCAAAGGTTGTATGATGTGGATCCAAACGAAATAAGGTAATCCCTGTAACTCTATCTCCAGACAACAAAGTATACAATAATGGACATGAACCTTTCCAACGTGGCAATAAAGAAGGGTGGATATTGTAACAACCATAGCTGAATAACGATAGAAGTGATGGTGGTAGAAATCGGCCGAATGAAACAATTATACCCAATAACTTTTCTGATTTATCTGATGATCGGTTTTTTAATATATCTATTCTTTGAGCTATAGAGTCTGTTACAATTGAAGTGTTTGAAATTTTACGTGGCCAAATCACATGATCTATTCAGTAAACAATATAGTGAAAGCAAGTTAAAATGAATTCTTTCTTAGAAATTATTTAAGCTACAAAACAAAATAGAAGAATATAATAGAGTTCTGAGTCACTTCTCAGCTAAATATCAAAGATACTGAGGTAGATGGCACTTTCTAGTCATTTATGATAAAATTCTAAAAAGATTACACCTAGTTTCCATGCCGTGATAAAGTATAAAGTTTTGATGTCCCAACTGATAAGTACAGTATGGGTATCTTTGAAGAATATTACCAGTATTTCCAGTTCCCTTTCGATCATCTTCAACTTCAAGAGAAAATTCATAACAGCTGGGTGTTCAGGCGATTGCGAAATGGTCACTACACAAACTATTAGTATTTTCAAGAGGTGGTACGTATCAGTCTTAGGGATCGTATAGATAACTATCGAAAATGCATAGTCAAAGACAAATATTACGGAGTAGCGGTTCAATTTGTCACATCTCATATCAACATATCAAGCCAGAATGCATTCAGATGAATCATAAAGAAGTGAGAAGTAAAAACTGGTAGAAAGTCACTAAAACAGACCAAGGAGAGAAGAGAGGATACTCAGACTTAGTATGACGCTGAACATAAAGATAATATGCGGGTACATCTGTGCGAGTGAAACCAATTCTGAACCACATCGGAGTATGTGGTATGCGGAACGAATGGGCATAAACCTTGAACCTGAAGGCGTCGGTACTAGAAAGCGAAATCCACTCAGCTATCTTGTTCACATTCATGCAGTAGGCAATGAACCACACCTATTTGTTGAGGGTTAATGGAGTTACCTGGCTGCCCAAACTTCAGTAGGCAGGAGTGGTATTCGAACCCGTGACCCATTTCATTAAAGGTCAATTTTATCAACAAGTGAACTATATAAATATTTAGACCCATTTGTTACTTCAGCATCAACTGTGCCTCAGCGGATTAGAGAGATGACTTTCAACCACATGGGTCACTGGTTCTAGGCCCGCTCCACCTACCGAGGTATGGGCAACCAGGTAGTATCACTGACCCTCACACTATAGGTATGGCTCATTGTCTACCGCACGTACGCGCAAAAGGTAGCTGAGTACATTTCGCTTGGTTCGTTCATACAGCATCAGCTGTACGTCAAATTATGAAACAAACAAATTCCAGAACGGAAGTTATCACAAACCTTGTGGTTACAAAGGCTTTATAAAATCACCAAATGCCTTTTATTTCAAACCGAAACACACACTTGAACTTAGAATATTTCGAAACAAATGAAGTGGATGTTGACTGTCTACTACTGTTCAGTTTAAGCCTGAAGTGGTGAAAAATTAACTGTAGTCCTAAGATATGACAGACATGGTACTGATACTTTGAAAGAAAATCCTGACTAGTTGTGTTTCTTCACTTTCAAAACTTTATATTATGGGTAGATAGAAGTAGTAAATTTGGATCATTGGTTCAATGGAAACGTGCTGGTTCAATCCCTGGTGGGCGGAGTCATGGGTGCGCACTGCTGAGGAGTCCCATAATGCGACGAAACAGCTGTCCAGTGCTCCAAGGTTTCCGATGTTTTCCCAAATGATATCAGTTCATAATGAATATCAACTTGAACTCTGTTTAACAGGAGAAATAATTTAGAGAAGAAAGTGTCTTCCTTTCCAAAGATATCCATTTACGGGAGCTGTACAGTCGTATTTATGGACACTGGAGACAAGTAACAGTCTATGATTGAATAATACTTTGAGATTGCATTAATAACGTGATACTATACAGCAGAAAAAAAATCATAAGTGTATACATGGACACGATTAAGTAATGGTCTGTAAGTTGATGAAGGTAACAGCAAAGACATAAAACCTAACAAAGTGTGAATTACTTCTAGGTGTACAGCAATGTCTGCTTGACAAATGACAAGGAGATGAAGAAAGAAACAACAATCCCAATAAAGGTAATAACAGTGAAATAATACCTAATAGTGAAATTAACCAAATAAGGTGTCAAACTAGCCGATCGGGGTCAATTAGATTAACGGAGTATGTGAAGTTAGCTAAACCTCAATAAGATCAACAAACTACAAAATAACTAAGCCACTGCAATGGAGGAACTGAAACGTAGTCATACAAAAAGTTTGGATAAAGCAACTATACTAAAGTCCAATATAGTTACTTCACTGAGACGAATTTTCTGACTGTTAGTCTTAGCGGTCTATAGAAATGTAAAATTCCTGGTTGGGGTCTGGATGATAACATAAGCTAGTGGTTGGAGTATCTAGGTAACATGGCTGAGAATCGATATCAGTGGCGCAGATATATTCATACGCCACTTTTATCGTAATCTTCATATTGAATTCAGTATTTTCGCATTCTTCGTTCCTCTCTTTAACTGGTTCCTACCGCTTTAGGCAGATTCTTCCATTTTCTTATCTTTCATCTTAGTGTTTTCTCGCTTGAAACGCTCAAATGAGGTGTGGCAACTTAGATAATTGCACAGTAATACCCGGTTTTGTGTTGATATTGATGGTGAATATAGTTATGTGAAGAGAGAGAGAAGTTGTCTAGCGAACCTTGATTTATCGAATCAACAACCATCGCTTATTCAGGAGATGTGTAAAATCTTACTATCACTGAAAATAAAGAATACGGGAGACAGAAATCGGATAAACACATATGATATAGGTCAAGAGGAAGTGAGTTAAGAAAAAAACAATCAAAGTCCCCATATTTTTCTTTTGTACATAGAAATAAAGCTTGACTTGCTTAGTGTAAAGGTTGTGAAGTTAAGCGCTTTCTGAACTGTTTCGTTTAACTTTGTAGACAATCTTAAAAAATAACTCCGATGAAGCTTTGTGATTATAACTAGCTAGATGTTCAGGAATCGATTAATTTTTTGGTCTACACTCTCGTCTTGGCAACCAAAAAGGAGGTTACGTCTAGGAAGAGCAAACTATGCACCCACAATATAACCAGCTGTAAAGGAACAAGTAAACTTGTAGATTTATACTAAGATAGCCACAAAAGAGCAGTCTGCCGTATATGTATCTATCAGCTAGAGAACACAATCCAAAGCTCAATAAGAAAAACGTCTTCCTTAAAGAACTGGATAGTCAGTATTTTAGAGTTTCTGTCTCCGTGTCATTTTAAGTTAACATTCCCAAAGAGGCTTTTCTTTGAAACGATAGAAAGTCATTCAACATGTTGTTTTGACTTCAGGTTTTCTCAACGAACTTAAAGGCATAACCATTTTCATTGAGTACTCTTTGAAGCTTTTCCATATCATCAGCAACATTGTGTATTCCATACAGATTCATTTAAATCTCAAGAACGACGAACGAATGAGGTTCCAATTTCTGGTTCGGAAGTCCAACTTAAGCTAAGAACACTAGAACAATTTCAGACAAAACAAACTGAAGACAGGTAGCACTTAAAACAAAAATAAAATACGAACTAAACATACCGTGTCGAAAATTTCCTATTTCCTCAAACACTTTTCTCAAGCTTTATGGCTATGAAAGAAACGTTGTTAAAGTTAGACAGCATGAGAAAGCTTCAGCCTCTCAACCACTGTCGCCTTCGTTTCACAGACTGCGGGTCATGGTACAACTCTGTCAGTTACATAAAAATCGGGGGGGGGGGGGTAAAGCTTTACGCAGAGACAGTGAGTCAGATGATGATGTTGTGAACCTTCACCGACTAAGTTCACTGTGACGTGTTACGCATGGCATCAGTCTATGTCTCTGACCATTGGTTTGAACCATGTAGGGAAATGTAGATTTCTGGGTTGAGGTCTGAGTGACAGCCAAAATCGGTGATTAGACAAGGCTCTAAGCAATATGACTCAGGAACTATCTCAGTGGTTCAGATGCAACCACACATTATCATCACCTTAATCTTCATACCGAACTTCATCATTGTTTCATTCCTTCTTGTTCTTCATCACAACTTTCTATCACTTTGATTGGCTTTCTGAACCTCAATTGGTTGAAAGTCACCTCCTTAAGCCAATGAGTCACAGCTCCACATTACTAAGCATTTTTATAAGGCTTATGTAAATACAAATACTAATGAATGCAACTACAAGTAAAATCTTAATAAGCCTTACCTATTTTATTCTGGATACAATGACATCCAACAGGTGTTTTATCCGATGTTGTAACTACACACAAGATCTGAATATCATTATGATGATATTGGTGTTTTTCTAAGGCATGCAGATGCGGTAATGCATAATTATCACTACCAAAGAATATTACATTAACAATTGGACGTGTAAAGATAGGGAAATTCAAACGATATGTAGATGTTTTCAACAAGTAACTCAAATTCATTTTATCCTCTTGTAAATGCATTAGTCATCTATTAAGAAATAAACACAAAATACGTGCAATATTGCGGGCAATGAAGCTGATAACCATAGACATTTAAAATATATATATTCAAAGAGAGTCGGTCATTTCCTTTCATGCTTCATATACGTAATTCAAAGTTGATGTGAAGAAAACATTTCCACTGGTATACATTAATACAATACTGTGGTGTGATGTTTTAAAAATACAAGGAATAATAGATAGATCACAAAGAAGTGGTAAGCAAAAAGTTTATTAACCAAAAGGGAGGTGTAGTTCAGTCGTTTGGAAACTACAACCTCAATTAGTTGATTAAGACCTATATTTAATTTATCATTCATTTTGTCTGAAACACAAACTCAGTGTAATATTGTGGCGACAAACATGCGATAGAACTCAGATCTGTCCAGTAGGGTATTACGATTAGCCTACACAACCCGATACAATAATCTTTAAAGTGATGTTTCTTAAGCATTAATTATTGTAAGATTCCAACGCAGGGAACTAGAGCGAAATCAGTCATGACTATTAGTCTGAATAATGGATGCCATATTGGCAGATTAGTGATTGACTGACACATTGGTACAATCAACCTACAACCTCGAACAAAGATGCTACACTTCACAGCAGTACACAAAGAACAAAGTTGTGTGAAAGAATAAACAATCTGAAGATAAGGATTAGTGCGAATGTTCAAGCTTTAGAAAATGTCAACGAGTGAATACATCTGCGCCATTGTGACCAATTTTTAGCTATATCACTAAGAGTCCTCAATCCCTGATTCATTTCGTCTCAAGAAGTCGATATCTCCTTACACGATTCAGGCCAACAGAAAGAGACTTTATCGACTGGCCACCCTGAACCCTCTTCAATCTGATCCAACTTTCCCTAGCATGGCAGGTCGAGGTAGGTGATGACTAGGAATGTGCAACACATTTGTAAGCTACCCCAGCCGGTGAAGGTTCACAACCCCATCAATGAACCTAATTACCGTGCTTATTACCCTTCATCTGGCCTTAACATTTCTCACACAGTGATTCCACCGAACGCGAGCAACGCTAAGAAGATATCTGTGATTAAAATTCAGTGTTCGCTTCGTGTCTTCTTCTTTTAATGGCCATATCTCATAGTCGTATAACAGGACAGAAAGGATTGCAGAGCAGTATATTAGTCCTTTGATAAATAGTCTGGTATTTCGCTAGTCCGCGCCACAGATGACTCTAGATGACAAATGCCAAATGGGTCTTTTGTATCCGAGCTGAGATTTCGTCAGCAATCGCTCTGTTTAGGCTGATGCAACTCTCTACGTGAAGTGGTTGACATTAGCAGGTCTTTGACTTGCTAGTTTTAAAGCCTTATATTCTAAACTACTTGGCACACAACTATCATGACTAAAATTCCTTAAAAGTTAATGTAAGTTTAGAACTTAAGCATTGGAGAGTGAAACGCCACAGAAGATTAGTTTATTCGATATAACAGTGCACTAAATCAATTTGATTTTTATCACTACAAAATACGAAAGCAGACTATTTTGTAGTGAAATTCAACGTCTGGTGGTAATAAACGTAATAAATAGCATCAGTATGTTTAAATCTATTTACATTTTCAATGAGCAACGAAAGTAAACGATAAACAGTTGAGTGGAAATTGGAATGCTCCTGCATAAATGTTTCATTAACTTTAAGTAGAATAAAATAGACATTGAGTCAGCATCTCTAACTACCGGGGTCAGAGCGACCAGGTAATATCATTAACCTTCACATGGCTCATTGATTTCTGTACGAGCAAGTACATGGTTGCTGAGTTGCGTTTTATTTATTTATCTGACATGTGCTGAATGAGGAAAAGAGAACCGAAACTTGTTTCACTGTTCAAAGGAATATGCAAATGGGAATATAAACTCCCCGGTTGAGGTATGAGTGATAACCGAAATCGATGATTGGAGGAAACCCCAGACAATAGGACTCAGGAACTATCTCTGTGGGGCAGACGCAACCATCATCATTTTAATTTTTACACCGGATTTAATCGCCGTTTTATTCCTTTTTGTCCTTCATCATGACTTTTTGTTACCTTCGCTACTTTCTTTCTTATTTCTACATCTTTCATCTTTGTGTATCCCACATTAATGTGGTGATATGTGTGACAACTCCGACTTTTATCAGGTTTCAGGTTCATGCTAAATGACACTGATGACACCATACATTTGAGTGCTTACGATCATTCACATGCAGAAAGTAGGAAAGAAAGAGGATTAAATATTGTTTCCTAAGAGCTTCCCCTCTTCACAGGTTTTCATTGAGAGCTCTCACCCTCGGAATATTCCAGGTTAGAGAAGCCATTACGTGCCACTATGAAATGCAAGTGAGTGAACAACAGCCATTTATAAACTTACTTAGATCGTTAGGACAATCCAGAGTGGTATTCCATCTAATGAGGGGGACATCAAAATCATAAGATGTAGAATGGTGGGTATTCAGACATGCCTCGGAGTATAATAGAGACTCAACACCATGCTTCATAGTTTCTTACCAAGCCGAGTTAGTTACAAATCTATTAATAGCTGATTAGGCTTACTACATCAGAAAACCTCGCATCAGCTATCATGCATATTTCAGACGTTCAACCAATCACATTGTAACAATTAGTCCCATTGATGAATTTGCACAATGTAATAAGAAGACAGATAACCTCCATTTTCTTATCACATTATGCAAACCATATTGTAGTCTTCAAAAGCTCGCCTAAATGGTAAGTATCGACATACCCAAGAGAATCTAAGGGCTCTCCTAACGCACAAGAAGCCAGAGGGGAACCTTGGTCAACCGGAAGGTATCGAATCGTGTGGGCTTCACGGAGCAACCCTGTTACTCAAGCATACTGTGTACTGAGAGGTACTTGGAAAGGATGTGTATGAGTGATATATGTAGCAACGTCAAAAGTGATTGGTAGGGATTCGGGCAGAAAGAATACACAATATTGGATAAAAATATAAAGGACAGTAATAGTGTGACTGAGATGCAGGGTAAGAGAGATTGTTAGCGAGTGGGACTCATATTATGAGGCTTTAGTATTTCAACGATTATCCGTCGTATTTTTTCAATGAACAACATTTGCTGCTCCTGTGACAACTAAACGAATCAGTTCACAGGGAGTGACCCGGATTCTGGTGTATATCACTCCTGTATTTATTACCTCGATAACCTCTAGTCTTAACTGTAAAGGAGAACAGGTATCGCACGTTTATAATTCTTACATTTACGTAATTAGGGGCGGTTTCTGTACCAGTGCTTTGTCCTTCCCCAGAGAAAACATGCTTTTTCTGTTGACATTTATGTTTGGCGTTGCTATTTGTTGTTGTAGACCTTCAAGTCTTTTGTCTGGGGAATTTGCTTCGTAAGCCTTAATGGTTGCTGCTACTGTTCCCATCAGCTACCAAGGAACCTCTTCTAATTCTCTAATATTCATCGGCCGAACTCCATTTACAAGCTTCAACTGTCGAACAGTGGTGACTGGAATACTCTCCATGAATTGCATTGCCAATAGTTAGGCTTCTGACTAACCATCGATGTTAAGTAGTACCCAGTGGAAGAGATTTGAATTTCACCGCAGGTACTAGCTGGTTTTTATCTGTCCACAGTTTCGAAATTCGGAACTCCCATACAGCTTGCATGCCACCCATTAAGCCGTCAAACGAGCTCGCCGAGTCTCCTACACATCATTTTCCTTGACATCCTAAATCTTGCCATGAGTTGCTTCGTAGGCCTTTGCGTAGCCTTTCAGCTAGATGTACAACACCATCACCTTTTACCTCGGTTTCTTGGACCTCCATCAACTCTGCGACTCCTTCGAAATACCTCAGAAACATCCATCCTCGAATGCTGCAGGCCAAGGTATTTTCATATGGATGGCAGGTAGTAACACCGATACAGAAGTCCAATGGAGCAGCAGATACAGTTCATTGACAAAATACAACGGACAACCGTTAAAATAATAAAACCTTATAATATGGTTCCCATTTGTAAACAATTTCATATTCTGCATTTTAGTAGCACTAATACTGTCTTTCATATTTCTATCCAATATTGTGCATTATTTCTGCCCAAATTCCCCCCATTTGATCATCACTTTTGATGTTGCTATACATACTATTATACATTCTTGTGAGCAGCTGTCATTACATCAGGCTAACTTACCAATTACAGAAATATTAGCAAACATATTGTAATGCCTAATGGAACATGGAGACATGACCCATCAATCTGAATATGTGATTTTTAACTAGCGGGTCACGGATTCCAATCCAGGCTTGGGCCGCAAAGAAGTACCACGATCTCTTACATAATAGGTACGGCTCATCACCTACTGAGAATATGCACAAGGTTGTTAGGTGGATTTCGATTCGATAGATGCTTTATCGTAATTTGTAACTTTACTGTTTTAAAAAAGAAACAACCAATTATCAGGACAGATTTCAAACCAATCGCCTACACAAACACAGGTCTATGAGCTAGAATATATTCCACAGTAATTACTACATTTGGCCACTGTATGCCATTGAGTTGCAACGAAGCCCATTTGCCTCAACTCGTGGAACTTTTTTAAGCATATGATTGTTCTGAGATACTAGTTCGCTGCATCATCCTGCAGCTTGGTAGTACATGGACTAAGGACTCAACCCTGAGACATCAAGTCTTGCACCAGAAATCAACCATTTGTAAATCTCCCTATATATATATATATATATATATATATATATATATATATATATATCAACTTTCGGTGAAATGAACGTGGTCTCAACTGAACCACTTGTCTGTACAAAAATGAGACGATGTGGAAACTCTCTGAGTGGAGAAACAGAGGTAGTAGGTAGTACATGGCAATCAGAGATAGTCCCATCATAATGGTCTTCTTCCATGATCATCTTAGTTTATAAGGAAGGAGATAAGTCATTTTATGATAACCATAGTGGTTGCCTATGATAACCTCATCATCCTAACTGCCGTTCCTGTGGTAGTTATAAATGATACATCGAGAAGCGAATAGGGAGGAATGAAGACCTACTTATTATTGCTTTCAAAATAAGCGTCTTGAAAGGTTGCTTAATCATAGTTAGGGACAAAGGGAATAGCCAGCTTTAATTGGGAGCAAACAGGAGGTTCATAATTTAACTCATTCCGAGAGAAGTTTTCTTGTGACAACCACAGAGAAATCAGTTTAACGAGCATCCTGTTGAAAATCCTGGGGTCCATAGCTATCTAATACGTAACTAAAGGTCGAGAACAGCGAGCTTCAGAAAAGTCGGCAGGTTTAAGACCTGGGTGAGGGTGCATTGATCAGGTTTCCACCCTTCGACAAGTTTGGGGACATACATATTTACCGGCCGACAGCCGACACTTACCATACTTCCTAACTAAAACACGGTATTTCACACTGTCCGCCGACGTGTTGTGACAGTGTCTCACTGTGAAGGGAGTACGCAGTGCTAACCAAATCCCTGTACATGAACTCACGCAGCCTTGTTAAGGATATGGGGAGCTGTTATCTGAATTGACAATTGGTGTCAGCCAGGGATGCCCACCGTCTCCCTTCCTGCGTAACTTCATTATACATGTATGAATGAAAATGTCCCCAGGTGTCTCGCTAGGCGGCATCTGGTTATCTCGTAATAAGCGGCAGGCACTGTCCTATTAGACGAAGACGCTGACAAAGTGTAGGGGCTTCTGAATGTGCTGAGCTGAGATTTAAGTATGTTCGATATACGTTTCATGCCAGTCAAATGTGATAAGATGCCCTAGGACCAGTCTGTAGCTATTCTCAGTTGAAGGTAGGAAGTGAGGTGGTAGAATGCGTCGACTACTTCACTCGAAAAGTTGAGTGGGCCCGAAGCTGAAGCGAATCAAAGCAGCAGAGTCCGGCATCACGTAACGTGGTGTTTCCGAGTCAGAAAACTACTGCCTAGAATAACGGAGATAATTCGTAGTGTGAGATGATTAGACGTATTCTCACCACTCGGCTCAAACTGAAAGACGATTGCAGTCTGAGGAAAAAGAAAATGACTTTTATTACCAAAAGAGGTCGAAGAAAATTCCGAAAAGTAAAGGAATAAACAAAACTTTAAAATAAATTTCCGGAAAAATTTCAAAGTTTGGGAACAAGATTCAATCACTTCAGAGTAAGAAATATTGAATTTGTCAGTTTGAGCATTTTAGCATCTTCAACAAATGATTCAAGGACTTGCGCTTTCGATTCTAACTCTCTGACCGATTTATTTCTGTGAAAATCTTGGCTATATTCACTTACATTCAAACAAGTGGAGTTATAAAAACAAATTTCATACTTCATGCTGCTATGAACTCAAGCATCACAACAACTATTTTCCTCTTAGCTTAAAACGAATTCAGCAGAAAACTGCACTGTTTAAAGAAAATTTTATGGTTAAGTCATTTCTTCCATTATCTTATCATAAATTACGGAAACCCTTTTGTACTTTATAAAATTCCCGTCCCTTTCACTTCTAAATATACCTTGTTAAGCTGCAATTTTATACCTAGAGGTGATTGCATACTCTATGAACTTCCGACCCAGTCACGCCTCCTACTATGTTTCGAATTGAGTCCTTTATTTTACAAGTCAATAATCGCCGTGATCTCTGTGGTCTTACTTCTCATTTGTAACCTTTATTTTGCTTTAGCACCCTTTATCTTCCAGTAACGGGTGACGCGATTATTGCGCGTCGGACTAAACTTCAAACTTCAAGTTTCATATTGTAGAATTAGTGAATGGTGGTTCCTAGGGTTCTACGTCTGTCTTATTGAAATATGTTCTGGGTTTAGAATGGTCACAATTATCTTCTCGGTTCCAAAAAACACGAATGGATAGAGATAAACGATTATTAATCTGATCTAAAGGTAGTATTACTGCACCTGATCTGCAGATGACGGAAAGTTTCCCGAGTACAGCCCATCAAAGCCGTAGGACTACCAAGTAGTTCAAACTCCAAACCTCGTGTGGAGAATTAGTGGGTGATGGATACTTGAGTTCTTCATCTATCTTACCGGAATACCTTCTTCGTTTACAGTGATCATAAGTGTTATCCTGGTCCTAGAAATTCGCAAGGACCGAGAAACACGACCATCAGTTAATCTGCGCTCAGAAAGCTCGGGTACAAGGCTCTAAACTTGCTTATAAGATCCTTTTAAAAGTGGCAGAGGAGGGGGTTGTAAAAATTTCTATGGGAAGGGAGTTCTACAGTTTTTTTTGCTCTAACTACGAATGTTTGTGCAGATGTTGTACGTGCTCTACTCTCAACGGATAGTCTCTGAAGTGACACTTCTGATAGAAGCTTAGGTGGGACCTGTTAAGATGAAGGGGATTGTGGAATTACATACCCTTGAATCCTCCGGTGTTGTACGGCTGCAGCTTAGCAGCAGCTCAGCAATCCAGGTAAGGCTTGTACCGTAACCCTATCGTTTTTTCGTTCCTCTTCTCCGAAACCGTCTTTCAGACATAGGCACATCAGCGGCGAGATTTTTTCAAGATAAGGACGAATATACAGTCCATACATTATGGTGAAAAGGGCCGAAATTAAACTCCCTAAAGTTTGCGAAATAAACCCCAGGACCCCATGGCCTTGTTAGCTGCAAGATGACAGTGGGCTGAGGGTCCAGGAGTTTCAGTTCTAGTAACCTCCAGATCTTTTCCAATTTTTGAGTAGCAGACATTTATCTTACTCGCCCAATAAGAACTGGAACTACTTCGGGACTTGTCAACAGTCATTATTCTACACTACTCGTTGAGAAGGAGCAGGTTTTCACCAGTCGAATTTGGGATTTTCGAAGGGTTCTCCTACAGGACCGAAAAATCCGTTGGCTCCTGAATCTCCTTTCGAACATTCATACCATTGGCATATACTGGAATGAGAATAGAGGGTTCCGGAAGTCACTGATAAGAGCAACAGACAGTAGTGGACGAAGAACAGAACCCTGAGCCACAGCACTGAACATCGGGAACCAATTAGATAAAGGGAAGCCGACTCTAATTGACTGCAACCTATTTTTCAAATAATCTCTAACCCAATTTAGCAAGTTTTCATGCACACACACAGGCTGAAGTTTCTGTCATGGGATATTATGGTGTCAAAGCACTTAGAAGTGTCATGGAAGCCAATACATACGGGTTTCTTCCACTGAACAAAGAGGATCTAACTATTTCAAGCCATCGGTAGGTTGTTGTTGTATGTCCTTCTAGGCATAAGCCCGTGTTGACGGTCATTTAAGCCATTCTTGAGTAGGTAACCGCGAGATGAGTCATTTATTGCTTTTTCCATGATCCTAGCAACTTCATAGGCCCGGGAAATTGGTCCATGGTTAGAGACAGTTAGTATGTTTCCGCCATTACATGCTGGGATAACAGCCACCCGTTTCCAATCAGAGGGTAACCTGCCTTCCCGAGGCGGGCATCATAGGAGGTTTGTTAGTGGGGCACTCAGAGTATCGGCACACTCTTTGGGCACTCTTAAGCGAGTACCATCAGTTCCCGAAGACCTATCCTCATTCGAGTTCCCTATTGTTATCGTTATTTTTCTCCCCTTGGGTTCATGGTGGAACATAGGGTTTCACTAGCGCGCATCTATTCCACTCTCTCCTCTGCAGTGCTTTGGACCTTGCACAGCGACTGCCCACAAACTATTATTTCTTCCTCACACCATCTCCTCCATGTCACCGCCACCACGGACGCCCAATTCATCGTTTCCAATCTGGGTTCCACCCGGGGGGCTGACCTGGCGGGTGATGTCGGCTTTCCCAGTGTATGCCCAACCCAACCCATCTCCCCTTTCTTCCGCATATTTGTTGAGCAGTAGGTTCTTGATTACTTCGTTCCCAGATTTCCTTGTTGCCTATTCTTCTCACCATTCCGGCCATCTGATCTCAATCTTCAGTATCCAGTGAGCATAGGCGACAGCTGTTGATCAATGTCTGTAGTTTGTTCGAAATGCTTTTCGTGACACGCCAACTTTCCCAATCATCTAGAAGCACCGACTTACTTGACATTGATGTTGAAAATTCACACCTCGTTCTTTATGCTGAGTGCAGTGCAGTAGATCTCCACACTCATTTCACATTAGTGAAAGCCTGTATTTCTGTCTTTCCGATCCTGGTTGGCTTTGACATCCTCGGCTGTGCCACCACTGACTGTAGTTGAAACGATGTTGCCTTCACTAGGTAGGTGAAAGAGACCACTTCCTTTAGGTTTCTCCCATTGATGGTGATTGGTGCCTCTTGTTGTTGATGCTGTTATTGTTAGTTGGGTATCTTCATCACCTCTGTCTTCTCTGTGTTCACCTGAATGAAGTCTCGTCTTCCTTTGTTGCCTCACCTCTTCTGTCAACTTGTTAGTTTTCGCCTGCAGATCTTCGAGTTTCTGCGACAGACATTAGATACAAATCATCGGCGAAATCTACGTCTTCTGGGCTCTTTCCATGGGTCTAGCCAGCCTGTGACCCTCTTCTCTCTCCTCATGGTTTGCTGTATGATCCAGTCAACCACAATCAGGAAGATGGTCAGTGATAGTAGGTGGCAGCCTTGTATTACTGCTCCCTGTCTTCACTTCAGTGGTATCACTGGACTTTCCATTGTGGATCACTTGGCATGTAGCGTCACCATATAGCTGTTGTATGAGGTTGATGAGGATTCGTGGCACCCCGTTGCGTTGAAGCAACCGCCAACTTACTCCTCGGTTGACACTGTCGAAGGGGTTTTCAGGGTAGATGAAGCTGAGGTAGAGAGTTGGCTGCCATTCTATACTTTGTTCTGTGATGACGGAAAGTGTCGCGGCTTGATCCTCACAGGATTTGCACTTCATGAAGCCGGCCAGCCCGTTTCGGTAGTAATTTTGAATCCAGCGTATCCTTTAGTCTCTCCAGGACGACGTTGCTGAATATTTTGCTTGCATTGGGTGGACAGGAGGATGATTCCACGCCAGATCCTCCAAAGGCTTGGGTCTTACTTCTTTGGAAGTATGAAAAGGTAGCCCTTCTTCCAATCAGACGACAGGTTTCTTCCTTCCTTGCGAACCTTCTGCAATAGTGGCTTGAGCACTTCCGCTATTGTCTCTGCGTCTATTCTCGGTGCTTCCGGTTAAATTCCATCTGGTCCTGCTGCTTTCCTGGATTTCGGTAACCTTATGGCGTTTCGGACTTTCGCTTTTGTCGGAGGGCTTGTGCTCACCGGAAGTCCCGCGGTTGCTAGCGGTATTTCTGGACTAGTCACGGGTGGTGGTCAACTCAAGAGTTTTTTGAATTGGTCATCCCATTGTTTACCTTGTTTCTCCCCTTTGGTATCTAAGCTTCCTTCACTATCTTCCATTGGTTTCGTCTGCTCTGAGTTGACCTCTTCCCGGATGGTAACCTGTTCATTTGACATAATGTTGTCAGGTCTCTCCTACCTGCAGCTTGTTCTGCCTCACTTGCTAACACGTCGTAGAAGTGCCTTTTGTCTTTGCGTGGACTCCTTTCCACTTCTTTTTCAAGTGTTTTACATGCTGTTCTCGGTTCTTCTTTTTGTTGTGCATCCTTGCACTGGTTCATCTTCTGCTTCGCCATCTTCCTCTCCCTACCGCATCAGCTTCCATGTGTCTGTCAAGATCCATTCCTTGTCTTATCTCCTCGTCCTTTCTAATGCGGTTGTGCAGGTTTCTTTACACATCTCTTTCAGTTAGTTACAGTGTTCTTCCACGCAGGTTCCTTCAGGGATGTCGCTCAACACCTCCTATTTTGTCCTGATGACTGACGTGAAGATGTCCCTTGAAGTTTCGTCCTTCAGTTTCTAAGTGTTGGACTTGAACTGTAGCCTATCACCAACTTCTTTGAGGGCTTTCAACTTGATGTTGAAGGTAGCTTCTTTGCGCTAAACAGTGCGCCGTTTTAACCTACATCTGCTCCCATCCCTGATCTTGTGTCCACTTTCTTGAGACTGAGATGAAGTTGAATCTGATTTTCAGTGTGGTGTATCCTGGCGTCTGGTGAAACACATGTCGCTCACTTAGTGAATACCATTGTGTTTGTACACACTGCCCCCAATCACCAAATCATTGAATGCGCAGGGGTCTGCAAACAGTTCTCCGTTCGTATTCATTTCGCCGGGTGCCTTCCGACCCATTATGCGTTCCTCTACTGTGTTATCTGCTCCCCATTTGACATTCGTGTCACGCATTGAAATTTTGGTGTCACCTGGGGTGGGGTCTTGTCCAGTACTGACTACATTTGCCTATTGAATTCCTCTGCCTCCCCTTGATCAGCATTATTTGTAGGCGTGTAGTGTGACATTGTATGGTTGTGACTTATCTTCCTTTTGAGTTGAATCTTGGTGTCATGATCCTGAACGTGGAGGAGATTGGTTCCCGCTGCATGACAGCCTTCGGTGCTGTTGGGGACAAAACAACACCCGCTCGAAAACTCAGTGTGCTCGTGATTGTCATCTGGGTTACAATATCGGAGCAGATTATTGGTTCCCTAGTTGGCAATTTGGAGAGTCCACTTCCATTCCATCCGCCTTTTCAGATTCCTAGCACTTCTGTGCTATACCTTCTCATCTCTTTTGCAATCTGGGCAGCTTTACTAGCTACAAACATCATGCGGACATTCCATGTTTCCATTCTTTCGCTTTCATTGAGAGAAAACACATTGACCAACTGGCTTCCCAAAGGCTTTCACCAACCGGTATCATTTCGTCTCTCCG